CAGGATAATAACTACGCAAATAAGGTCATGTATTCACACGCCGTGTATACAGACAATATACCATCCTTTGAAGTTGACAACTCAGTTAAAATGGAAGTTAAAAGGCATGAAATTGTTCCAAATAACATGATTATATAATTCTTTATTAAAAGTTTCTAAGACAAATACGTACTTAAACTGTCAATAATAAGTCTTGAAGATTGTCAATAGTTGCAATCAAACGTTTGATCTTGCAACTCTTCAACCTTTCAGATCATCTAATGTTATTCATGTCTAGTCTTTGCCACAAACAATTAGAGGAAAACTTCGTAAGTATGCAATATGGAGTTATAAAAACTGTTTGATCTAACTACAAAGTATCTGATGATCACAGAGAACTGCAACCGTAACAGTTACGTTGGTAGCCAATAGGCTGCATGATTACTTTTTTCGAAACACCTGGTGGTACTTCTCTTTGAAGGAGTCCACTACTATAATACCTTTACTCCCGATTTTGTCATTCTTTGGAAAGGATTTTCGATTGACGGAATTGTCTTACTTGAATGGAATTTTATTATTGAACACTATATACATCGGTATGAAACTGCAACTGTTGGACACGATAGTTTAGAGCGCTGTTATCCTATGCTGTTCATAAGATCTGAGTCTGATACAGAAAACGTTAAAATTGCAATGTTAATTGTCATGATTACCGGGTCGGGTCAAAGAGTTGAAAGATATCAGTCCACTTTGGACATTGGACATGCTGTGAGCCTGTAAGCACCAGTAAAATATAAACCGGCTATAATAAGGCACTCAGCCCCATCCAACGAAATTTAACCACAGTGGGTGTCCGTAATTCGTCAACCGACTAAATCAATGTTTTAAAGGCATAGTTTCGCCACCCGTTTGACCAATCATACCTTAGTCTCAGAAAAGGGAATTATTTAACTAAGATCATCAGTAATAGTGTTTACAGCTCCCCGTCAAGATTTGAGTCTTCAAATCCATGTGTATCCATAATTATCCGCGTATGAATTGAAAGTTAAAATGACTCATCTTTACCTGAAACTGTCATATATAGATAAGACGAATATAGAAATAGAAATTAATTCTTAGTTGGGGTATTTTTGAAAGGAATTATGCAATGTTCGTACATTTCTAGTTAAGAAGAACAAGATGTATGATATACTATTTCTGATATTTATTAACTCAACGTTTCACATGCTCATACAAACAGTGTTATCAAATATTATATAGAATCACTAGATATATAGATATACTATTTCTAACATTTATTAACTCAACGTTTCACATGTTCATACAGACAGTGTTATCAAATATTATATAGAATCACTAGATATATAGATATACTATTTCTAACAT